CCTCTTGTAGCACGGCAAGGTTAAACCTGTAGACGACGGGGAGAGCAGGGTTTTTTTTAAAGGCTCATTCCTCCAGAAGCCATTTGTTTCTCAAGCAAACAATAAGCTACACTCTGTATATTGCCAAAATTACTTGAAACAAACAGTAGGATATGCTGTCAGCCAAATCACAGCACGCACACACACACACACACACACAGATAGATAGGTAGAAATATGATTACCAGGGATTTGTGTTCAGCTCTGCTGTTTTCTTTATATACACAGTATAGAATCACTCAGGGGGGAAAGGGAGGCTTCCCGTTTATACAAGAAAAAAAAAACATTGAGTCACATTCTAAAGGTATTTTAACATTTCTTTATTCAAGACGGTGATGCTTTGTGTTTGTGAACTTGTAACCTGTGAACTTTTTCATTATTGCAGACAAAGAGGAGGGCGAAGCGAGATTAGTGTCACACTTCTGTTTTCTTTTGATTTTTGCCGTCCTCGTTTTTTTTTCCTCCTTCTGTCTGAATTCTATACACACACATAGACAAATACTCGCACGTACAGAACATATAAATATACTCATCCCTCATGAACACACCTGGTGCTCCTGCAGGTGACTTCCTGTATCTCCTGAGTAAGTGTGTGTTTCAGTCGTGTGTATTTCTGTTGAGTTAATGTCACAGTGATGTATAAAAACCTTTGCTTTTCCCACTCGGTGCATACAGCACGGCAGACTGTATGCATGTCTGTATTTATGCATTATGAAATGTGTGAAATGCATATACACTTGCTGTATGTCATGTCTTTATACGTATAGGCTCCTCAACTTGTACTTGGATTTTTGTGATACCTCTAAAGGTAAATTTGAAGAAATAATAAACAAAAATGCACCAGCTAGAAGGAAACGCCATTACCAGTGATGTCACAGTTGGATTAAAATAGTGGAACCATAGACTGTATATAAGAAGGGAAAACAAATGAATTAAAGTCCCAGGAATATTAAGCAGTTTTCATTGAATTTCTATGAAGATGTTTTGGTTTGAATCTGTATATAGTTCAAAATTATCCATAGATCAGAGTTTTTAGTAGAATATAATGTCAAATTGTAAATTCTGATCCTATTTAGTGGGAAAATAGTCAATAAAGAACAACAGGAGACGGTGCTTATCAACTGACGAGACTGTCAGGAGTCTTTGTCATCTCTTCTCCGACACAAAATGTAATGAAAGAAACTTCATCCTCCAGGCGAGGATACGATCGCTCTCTCGCCTAAGGTTCTTTCCCCAGAAAAATAGGGAAGAGCCTTGTTTCACAAAGTAGAAGTTAAATGCACCTCCAGTCCAGTCCAATCAGACAGCTACGTCCATTTTTATATACAGTCTAAGTAGTCAAACACACCATTGTTGTTGCATCTGGAGACCCCTGGTACCACTTCTCCATGCGGGGGGAAGCGACATGAAGTGTTTGTCTCAGTGTGTATAATAGTGTACAGATGTGTGTTTACCACTTTAGGTCAAAGGAGAGGAGTGTGTGTGCATGGGCCACAAGAATGATCTAAGGTTTAGTGCATGAACTAGCTGTGCCCCACCCCCAGACGCCTTTTACCAGAGAGTCGTGATGCACAGAGGAAGCCTGTCTTTTCAGCACTCGAAATTTCAAAATAAAAACAAATCCAAAGTAATACGAGTGGAACTTGAACTATCCATCTGCTCTGAGGAGTCTGTGATCAGACGTGTGTGAACATCAGCGCAGACGTCCAGTCTCCTGAATGGACCGTCCTCTGTTCATCACATGATTTATTCCTGGTGCTACCAGCAAGTAGGCGATTTCTTTACCTGGTCATGGTTAAAGCAACGTCTGATGTTGAATCGTAATGTTTCCTTTCTTCTGTTGTCGGGGGCGGAGGGAATCCTGAGCCATCACTCGATCCGCACTAAGCCTTTTGAGTTGATTTACACTGACTGTACCAAACATTGTTTTAATCCTCCTGTGAAGACTGACCAGGTGAAATCCTTTCTGTGTGAAGAAAGGTTATCCATCACTGATAAACTGCAAAAGTGTTGTTAGCATTTTGTACATTTGGTTGCCGGTGTTTTGCAACTTTTCCAAATGAGAATCCAGACTGTGGAGCAGGCCTTCCACTCAGTCATCGTGTCGGTCAGTGCTCCTTCTTCACCTTAGAAGATTTTTTTTCCTCTACACACACCTGCTCCACAACAGGTGCAGATTCAGATGCAAAGAAAGTAACAAAAAACAACATACCACTAAATAAATCTATCAACTCCTGGACTTTTATTTTCTTTGGAAACGTTCCATCATTGTTAAAAGTCCAGCTCCCTTTCAATCATTGTTTCACTGACCCTTTGAACTTTGAGCTCCGCCCTTTATTAACTTGCTTCTTCTTGACTTGATGTTAGTGGGTATTTTTTCCTGTGTATTCCATTTTGAATTGTAATCTAGTTTGTACAAGAAATGGCGCTTGTGTAAATAAAGCTTGTTGAGGCTCCACACTACTCTCCTGTCGTTGCCTTTGTTGATTGCACAGCTGTGAAACAAAAAAAACATTTTAAACTGAATGGAACCATAAAAGTACAAGATGTAAATATAAAACAGGCCTCTACCCTCCCACGGGGTGGCACTATCGATGCCATTTAGAAAATATTTCCACATTTCTAAGAAACTAGAGCATTATATTCAGGTGCCCTTTATGTTTACATACCAATAGTCAGCCAGTTATGAATGGATGAAAGGAAAATGAAAAGAGAAAGTATAAGCAGAGGGCAGTGTCACTAAACATGCCGACTCTTCTCCTGGCCTATTAAATTACTTCTTGATCATTTTCCTATATGAAACATCTTCCAGTGCCACGGCAGGATTTTCCAGCTCCGAGGAGGAAACTGTGAGTGTTCCCATCTGGTTTACATGTGCTGCTAATTCACAGGCAAAGTTGGCAACAGTTTTCCAAAACATTGTGTTTTGCTGAGGGCTTGTGCATGAACAAATTTAACCTCACACTCCCTCCACAAAATAAATCTCCCTCTCCTGTCACTCTGGAGGGATTGGCTAAACAGCTCAAGAAGTCCATGTTCTTCCCAAGTTCCTGGAAGTCCTCTTGCACAATGTTTACGCAGCGTAAGGCAGAATTAAACGAGAGCAGACGTACAGCAACCTGACACTGGGCTGAGCACTTCTCCTCAACTGTTGCGAAACATAAAGGGAGTGTGGGGTGGGGGGGGGG